AAGCTCGTCGGGTCGCCCAACTCCACTCAACTCACCTCTTACTTCGCTCGTGCGTTGGCCCTTCCTGACCACCCGCCCCGAGCTTCCTTCATCCTGTAAGGGCCGCTCGTGAGCTGATCCTTCCTGATCGCGCTACCCCAAGCTCCCCGTGCATAAGAGAGAAAACTAATCGCGCAGACTAAATTTATAGCGTGCATGCTCACGCGATGATTACGGGATTACGGAGACGAAGGGAGAGCAAACAGGGGGATTGGGCAAGGAATTGCCTGCGTCTGCATGATCAGGCCGCGGCGTGGGGGACTTAGCCGCTCTCCACACATCGATCCGATCATGCAGCTCGCGGCTGCCCAATCACAACGAGAGGAAAGAAACAAGGAAGAAAAGACGAGGGCGGGAAAGAACGAAGCCCAAGAAGAAAAAAACAGTTACAATGGCGCCCGCCCAGAAATACCGTTACACACACTATTAAGGGCGCTGGCTGAACAGAGCTGCGTGACAGTCGCAAGAAAAAGAGATGCGCGCGAGCAAAAACACAAAAAGCGCACCGCGAAAAGCCGAAATTCTGAAATTCCAAAAATCCTAACTACTGCAAAATTACGGGAAAGTCCGGAAATCCGACATGCAAAATCCTGAAAAGGCAGATCTAAATTCCTAATGCCCAATTGGGCTTAGCAATATTCAAAAACGAAATTCAAGAAGTTCGAAAAAGAACACACGAAATTCCCGCGCGATGTTCGCACCGAAAAACACCCGACAAAGTATCCGTCAACATTTATTAATCGCGCGCACTTAGGCGCGCAGGCCAATCGGCCAACCAATCATTCCCCGGAGGACCACCGAACCAGCCAGCATCAATCCCGAAACCCGACCACCGAAGAAAAAGCGAGAAGACGATAAAAAAGACAAGGTCACTAATGCAATTTCCCCTTGATCCCGATTCCCGTAATTGGCTCAACCTTCCCATCTAAGGCCCCCACATCGTAACCGAGCAGAAGGTCGCGCGGTACAGAAGATGGCTCGTCACAACCGTCCGATCACCATGGAGGATTTTGGGCAAACAATGAAAACAATGCAGAAGGGCAAATGCCCGGGCAGTGAGGGTTTACCGGTAGAGTATTACGGATGTTTCTGGGAGATCCTAGGCCCGGTTTTGGTGGACATTTTCAACAATGTTTTGCAGGGCCAAGGCTTGGGGGAGGACATGAGATTGGAGGTTATATCACTACTTTACAAAAAAGGAGATAAAAGGAACATAAGAAATTGGAGGCCGATTTCCCTCCTCAACATGTCCGATAAGTTGCTGGCCAAGACCCTAGCCAATAGGCTCAAGCGCTACCTGCCAGGTTTGGTGGGCGAAGAACAAGCCGGGATTGTCCAGGGTAGAAACATGCTAAACAACACTATGCTAACAATAGAGGCATTAGAGTACATGAAAGATGACCAGCCCGAGGTCGTGGCTCTTCTCTTAGATCTAGAGAAGGCATACGACAGGGTCAACTGGCAATTTGTGTTAGACACACTACGGGTAGCCGAATTTGGAGAATCTTTTTGCGCATGAGTCAGAGCACTGTATATGCAAGGGATAGGAATGGTTATGGTGAATGGAGAGATTTCCAGCCCTTTCCCGCTGTCCCGGTCATTGAGACAGGGATGCCCCCTTGCCCCCATGCTGTTTGTGATTCAGATGGAGGTCTTGTTATCCTTGATTAGGAAAAACCCAGACATACAAGGACTGAGACTGCCTAACGGACAACAGTGTAAGGCGTCAGCAATGGGCCAATGGCTGACGACCTTCTTGCCCTATCATCTAATTCCATGACATCCCTGGGAGCCCTCAAATGTTGTCTTGACTTGTATTCCAAATTTTCTGAAGCCCTTGTCTATTGGTCCAAGTCCACTATAATTACTAAAGAGGATGCTAGGCTGGCTGTGGATTGGGGGTTGAAAAGCTTACCTGTCGGGGACTGTGAGCGTTTCCTGGGAATACAGGTGAGCATGCTGGATAGCAAAAAGACGACGAATAACCTAGTGGAGCGTGCGGTAATTTCAAAAATTGGCAAGGTTTCAGCAATCAAGGGCACTTCTATCTTCGGTCGTGTAGTATTTCTGAACACATCGGTGTTTTCACAAGTATGGTATCCAGGCTCAATAAGGCCTCTGGAAAGCAAATCTTATGGCAGGATCAGGTCTCTCTCTACCAGATACCTGTGGAAAGGTACAGATGAAGAGGGGGTGGGTTTTATTGCCAAATTAGCCTGGAAGAAGGTAGTGGGTAGGAAATCAGATGGAGGGCTAGGAATCAAAGATCCGGAAATGCAAGTCAATGCCTTGCTAGCTAGATGGGTGATCAAACTTCTTATAGAGGAATCCACACACCCTTGGGTAGAACTAGCAGTTGGCATTCTCATGAGGGAGTGGGCTCTGTGTCGTAGAGAGGATGTTTGGCTAGCTCTGCTCACACCGTCCTTTATCAAAGGGCCAATCAAAGTTGTAGTGTGGAAGGATATTCTCCGCGCGTGGTCTCAGATGATGCCAACACAGTTCAAAGAACCACAGACTAGAGAGGAAATACTGGCCCAGCACATATTTGAAAACACTTTCATATGTGATGAGTCGGGTGTCTCGTGGTCGGCAGATGAGAAGCCTGGTAAATTCGGAAGAAGCTGGATCCAGAGAGGGGTCTCTCGAATCTCGGACCTCTGGAATCCGGAGCTGCTCCACTGGAGATCGGCTGCGGAGCTCAGGACCAAGCTACATCATCTAAGGTCAATTCAGGTAAGGATAGATAGCATTGTGGCAAGCATTCCGCAGACCTGGAAGGAAGTCTTAGCAGACCCAATTCCCGCGTATGAGGGACAGTGGGTGATGTCAGACGGGGTGTCAAGCCCCACGGAAGTATGGAAGGTTCACGTAATATTAAATCAAGGACAGGCGGTTGTTTCCCCGTATACGGTGTCAGGGCCGGACAATTCAGTCAGTCGGGGTTTAATGGAAATGGAGGAGAAGGTGGTATCTCTGCGAAGGGCTGTGTCCACGGAAGTGTGTTCAAAAAAAATAGGCAAAAGCAGTGTTGTGACGAACTACTTTTCGTATCGCGCGACTTTCTGCCCGGTGACGATGAGGGGTCCTTAGATGGGTAGGTTGAGCCAATTACGGGAATCGGGATCAATGGGGAATTGCATCTGTGTCCTTGCTTTTTCGTCGTCGTTTCGCTTCCTCCCTTTTCGGTGGTTGAGTTCCGGGGTCTGGTGCTGATCGGATCGGTGGTGAGCCGCGGAGACTTGATTGGTGGGCCGA